AGCGAGTATGTCCTGGAGGAATTTTTCCATCGCTGAGAGATAAACGCAAGACAATTTGTTAATGTTGGGTTTAGGGTAGGTGTACAGTTGTTATGATACGGACATTGATCAACCAAGGGAAATGGCCTTGGCCGATATAACGCCAAATTCTCTAATTAGCAAAAAAATGAATGATAGTGGGTATTTTGCTATCTTTGGAAATTAGGGCTTAATTTTCCTACATTCAAATACTTCAATGAAGACAAATAATGTTATATCCGGATTAAAGTCAGTACATATGCAACTGCGCACGTACCCCTCCCTAAATTCAACTTTAACCCTAAATTGTTTTCTGTTTACTGTCGTTGGGTTAGGGGAGGGGTAGGTGCGCAGTTGCCCAGATACTGGCATCAGTCCTGATAGGATTCTTGTATCCTTACCAGTTAAAGTGTATGGATATCTCGCAAACCATCCAGCGTGCAGAAACATTGGGAATGGTGCTCTGTTCGTGGTGTAATGTCGCTCAAAATTCGTCGACAATAGATCATATGCTTCCGTTTCATTGGCTGGTGGGTAGCATTCGTCAATCATATTGCATGGATTTCCTCGTGAATCGGTGTAGTCGATCATAGGAACCTCCCAAAGACCAGGGAATGAATCTGAAAAACAAAATACAGCGTAAGACAAAACATACCAAACATAAGATCCTACCTACTCACTAGTCACTCTGCGGGATAAGCCAGCTAGATTAACACAGGGCACCAGTCCTTCTCGTCCAATCGCGGCCTTTTCTATCGTTGTTTCATCTCTGTTTCATCTGTTTCATCTCTGTTTCACTGATCACGTGACCAGAAATGAGGACTCTGGGAACAAGATCCGGCTTAAGTCTGACCAATCGGCGCGCAATTGACGCTCAACGTGGAATTAGCTCTATTGAGCATCCGAGCTTATTTAAGTTATCATCGGATGAAATACGCATATCGAAGCATACAGCCTTGAGAACCACTGAGCAAATTACACAACCTACGACAAGTTTAGGTGACCGGAACAAAGAGGAATATTATCTTTTTTTTCCCTGGCTCTCCTGCCCGACAGTCGGGCAGGTAATGTGTTGATCAATTCGAAGCTTCAACATCCCCCCCGGGCAACCACCCTGGCATTTGAACTTTTGAGGATTGGTTTGTACAAATTTACGCCCCTCCCGAGCCAAAATAGGGTTCTTATGCTCTACCCAAGAGACAAATTTGTAGACCTTTTCTTCTGAGCCATCTGCGCGCGAAAGTGAACTCTTTTCCTTCAAAATCTTCCTTTAGTTATTAAAAGATAAAACACGTGCTTGCCGCTGAAAGACTTGACCGAATGACAGTTCCGGTTAAAGTTCTCACCCCACCCGGGCAAGGTTCAAATTTCCCACTCTTTGGACACGGACGACAGTCAAATGCCCGTGTGTTTCCGGGGGAAATTTGATGCTTCGAATTTATCGGCGCTTAAAATAATGCAATTCAAGTCCGTGATTTCTTTGGGGTAAAATCACCTGTAGGACATGGCGGAATAACGCATTCTTGTGTCGATCGATAATCCAGCGTGTAGGGCCACATCGGCGGATCCGTAAACTTCTGGGTTGGCATGGACGAGTCATACAGGAACTTGTTATCATGCAGAACTTGATACATTGTGTTGCCCCCGAGCTGCAAGAAGGGTACAC